GTGTGTGCAAGCATACAGCACTTACCTGCTCTACTTTACACCTGCTTCTGCTCTTTATGAAGGAAGTTCATTTCACCTCTGAATGTTTTCAGTCCCAGAGTTGTTGGCTTGATTGACATACAATTCAGAGGTTACCCAGCTTTTCAGCAGATGACCCTTGGAAACCAACCCAGTAACTGACTTCTTCAAAAATCGCCAGAAAGTGAGATAGTATGGTTTATGGTGGAATACACTTTAAACAAAAATTTAAAGAAAAGACTGGGATGAGTCATATGAGATTAGAAATGGCACACAAATTATGGTAAGCTTTGACAAGGTGAGGAGCGAATGGGTGAGCATTTTGGAAAGGTTTGGGGACTGAAAATTTTTCTTGGTCAGCCACACTGATTTCAGTGGATAATTGATCACTTTTTCTCTTTAGCTTGTTTGTGCTGATTCAGCTTTGGTGAATTTGCACTTGTAACTTGTAACACAGGAATAGTTCAATGAGTTTGAAAGTCTTTTTAAAATGGTTGTAGTACCCAAATGTTTCAGCATTCTTTGTGAAAGAGAATGCAGACAGTCATTATAAAATCATAGATTTTTTTTCACCTTTGGAAGATTTTATTTAAATGCACCATGGCCAGCAGACTCAAATGACAAGAAAGAAAGAGTATTCTGAATAGAAGGTGGAAATAAATTGCCCTGTGAGAGAGCCTTATTACTGGAATCCTGTGTTCTTGGGGACTTGAGAGGATGGGTAGAAAAACTAACTAGTGTTTAGAGTCTGACCTTAGTCAACAATTAGGAAGTTACAGTAAGAGTGTTTTCTACAAATACATTGGGTGGTAGACAGTAACTCTCCCATAGGTGAGGAAGCACAATCTAAAATTAATATGCGTAGAATGGCTACAGCTAAACCTGCACACTAGAAGCAATCTGCTGTTTCTAAGCAACTGAATGAATAAGCAGCTAATAACACCATAAAGTCATACTACAGCAAATATATAGTGATTTAATATTTGCCAAATTATTAGATGACATGAAAATCTTTTGGTAGTTGTGTGTGTGTGTGTATTTTAGATTAAAGGTTTATCAAGTGCAACATCTTCCTTCTCTCAAAAAGTCAGTATTATTTATGTTCACTGCTGGTTTTCAAAGGCCAGTGTAGAATTGCAAAAATATATTTGGATCTAATTCATAATGGGGTAGCTGGCTTCTGGTATAGAAATTCAACCTGTTACAAAAACATTGGAACAATAATTTTGTTCTTAACCACTGATCTTAACCACTCATGTAAATTCTTTATAATTATACCCATATTTGGGTACTGACACCAAATTGTACAGGCTTATCTCAAGTCCTACTTTCTCATGAAACTTTTCTCCAACCTCTCAGTCCACTCTCTCCCTCCCTTTCTTGGTTATATGGCACTGTGGGGTACTGTTTTGAAAGTATACTTCACCATTATTATAAGAATTAGAGTATTATAAATCAATTGTATTTGCATTTATTGAGGAAATAACATTGAAGAAGAGAAGAAAGGAAACTAGTTCTCTGAAAGAAAGAAAGATCTTAAAGTTGAAAAGGATGACACAATAGTCTATGGGTTAGTAGACTTCCATTTCCTGAAAGAAATGATACTGTATTTGTGAGGATTGCTAACTTTGTGCATTCAGATTGATGGGGACAGTGTGAAAATCACAAACTCTGAGAAAGGCTAAGAATGTAGGAACTAAAAATGGCCACCCAGTGTAAATTGCTACCTACATGCATTTAAAGTCTGTCTCTGTGGGGATGTTCTGGGAGCTCAGAGAGCTCTCAGTAAAATTCCCTTCTATAGGCTTGAATCTCTCCAACTCTCCTGAGATGATTTATTTCTCTTTCTCAGTGTAAACAAATAGGATTAGCAAATTGTGACTCTGGCCTATCACCTCAACCAAGGTGCAATTTCCTAGAATGCAGTTATATTATGTTTTGCAACTAGTGAAACATGTTGACAAATTTAGAAAATTTTAGCAAGCAATCCTTCTGGCCAGGGTTGTCTGTGTTCCTGTTAGGGAATACAGGGGTTTGGCCCATAGAAAAAATATAGCAGTGATTGAATATCACCCATACCCAACATTCCTGTCTCAGGGAAATTATAAAAGAGGCCTGTTTTTTTGGTAATTTCCTGGCTCTATGCCCACCTTTTGCCTTAGGGATGCAAACAACCCCCAATGGATTTGCTCCCAAGATAACCCAGCTCAAAAATTCTAGTGCCAAGACTTTTGGAATGAAGACACCTTTGACCTTGCCCTGCAAAGCCCTCTGTGTAACATTTATGTGTTTTGTCACATTGCCTTGGGTAAAAGTTGAAGGGAAATGTGGAGTGCCACTTCAACTCTCTGTGTCTTGTAGCTGAAATGACCATCTTAAAACCATACCTAGCTCGGATGAGAGAGTCACCCCTGACTTGGGCAGGAGCTAGAATGTTGGTCTTCTTGAGTAACAAGTGAGTTAGGTAATTCCCTTCCCATTTTCCTTTTTATCATAAGTGTAATAGTAACACACTGGTGAAGTCAACATGTGTGCACACGACACAGCTCTGCCTAGCTCCAAATCTGAGGAAGCTTGTCCAGGAGGCTGTGTTCCCATCCAACAGGCATAGGGATGCCCCAAAACCCCATGGGAGGAAATCACAAATTTTTCTAAGACGCGCCATGAAATCTTAACCTCTTTAACAAGTATCGCCATCACCAATTTAATACTTTATTATTTTGCATTTCTCCTTTTTTTGTTTCAAATGTATTAGGGTGCTTCCTCCCAATCATTTTTAAGATGATGGGATTATAAAACATTATAACAATTTTTCTAACTGAAACATGTAACAGATTAGTTTTTGGCCCCTTGAACTGTCACCTTGGGAAGTTGTATCCCTATTTTGGTTTTAGCAGCTACAAAAGTTTGAAGATAGCAGAAGAGATGTGACCCAGGCAGGCAGGGTTTGACAGTGGTCATCATGTTATAAGGCTTGTTCCTGAGAAATCTGATTTTATTTTGTATGAAAACATACAAGTTTCTGGTTTTTGTTCAGGCATAAAAGTGAAAGATGGTCCCTATGGAAAATTTGGAAAATCTGAAGATTTTGAAAAGGATAAAAAAAACAAACTTTTATAAAATCAAGCATGGATGCGCTGCCCAGAAACAATCTTCTTACCTCTTCCTGACTCCAGGGTGACTTAATGGAGTGGGTTTCCATGCCATCCACTAGTAGGTAGTATGTGTTATTAAGATGTAGAGGGAGTGGGGGAGCTAAATACCCGTGTGTCCAATTAATAATCAGAAATGACACATTCCAGAGTATTCATTCAACACTAACTGAGTGCTTCCTGTTCCCTAGACACAGTGCTAGCATGGAGGTGCCATGGGAAAAGGGCCAGCCTATATCTCAATGTGCTCATGGTCTGACTGGGGGGTTTGCCACTTACCCCTATAAACCGGTTCCAACAAAGTAGGTGTGACTCAATAGAATATGCAAAATGTTCTAGGAGTTAAAAGACAGCATTTCATAGATGGAGTGACATTTGGGCTGGATCTTGAGAGATCAAAGCAATAAATTATCCCCCTGTCTATCAGCAGTACAAATACCAACTTTAACATAGGGATAAAGATAATGAGATCCTCCCCAATGTCAGAGCCTGAATTATACATATATCCATAAGGGGCCAAACACAGCCTTGTAATGACAGCAATAAAAATTTATGGTCACTCAATTAAAAAAATTAAGTAATAAAGCAAAAGCTCTGGGTCTCATCAAAGACTTCAGTTGGGTGACATTTCTTCGGTAGTAAAACAGCCTAAGATTTCTATAACAGATTCTGCCGAATAGTTCCCTGAATCAATTTACCTAGCATACAGAGGAAAATGAGTTTATAAGAACTGTGAGCACCTCCAACACAGGCACAACTTTGTAGATAAAACCACAAGACTTCTGAATTCTATAATGAGTTATGTGGCTGGCAGGCAGTCAGGAAACAAGATGTACTGCCCCTGTCACTTGCTGCCTGGAGCCGAAGGGAATGGGTATTTCCATTGCACGTCCGGCTCTTCTAGTATATAGAGACCTGGACTCAATTACGGAACTGACATGCCCAGTTTGCCTGAAATCCTTTGAGAACATAAAGAGGAATGAAGGCTGGGTTACCTCTCACTTTTCCCCACTGGAATTCTCCTGCATTCTCGGCTTTCTTCTACACGCTAGCAGTGGGACTTGGGATGATGTTGGAAGAGCATCTGGCATTACTGACTACTCCCAGATTGAAGCCATTACCCTGTATTCTGAATTCTTCTGATCACTCTCTGGGTGACTCATTTAGTTCATGTAATCCTGTGTATGTCTCATTTTTTTTTTTTTGGTTATTTTAACTCCTAGATTCTAATACTTTAGATTCCTTATATTTATGTCTCATGTAGTTGACGAAATGATGGTCACCTTGACGTCCAAGATCTCAGTCTTCCATTTGTAAAAAATGCTCCCTGCTTGTGGCCTTGCAGTTTTAAACAGATTTGGTGCTATTTTTTTCTACTGGGAGAGTTCTACCTCAGAGGCTTTTAAAAATCATGTTAACAGAAGTCCGAATGCCCTGTACTGTTTGGCCTGCTGGCCTGTGTAGGTTTAAAGGGAGGGAACCCCAGATAGTATGAAAGCAGTAAGCATCTTGGGTGCTATCACTGAAAATAAAGTGGAGGGGCACACATTTCACCCCCTTATTACTGCATCTATGACAAGCGGTGCCCCCTGACTAGGGGTGGGAAACTCTGACCCTACACAGAGGAATTCTCCTGGGGTGAGGGTGGGTGAGCAGAATGCAGGTGCCTTCTGCCATTCTGCGGTGGCAGCACCCCAGGCTGACTGTGACTGGGGTGGGGGTGGTGAGAGCAGGCAGCACCCAGCTGAGATGTGCTGAGGCAGGCTGAGCAGAGCAGGTTTTCAGGTCAGCAGGGTTTGCCAAGCCTATATTGACTCCCAGCTTCATCTCTGACAGGTAAAAAGCTTTCAAATCCTCATTCCCATGATTGCAAGAAATATGCTGGGCAATCTGAAAATCAATGACTTTTCTTGGATTCATTAGAGAACTGAGATTGTAGGGCAAATTACCAACCTGAAATCCGGAGAAACGGCTCACATTTGTAAATCGATGACTTGGAGGTATGCTCTGTTTCCCCTTTCTTTTTCTTTTGTGAGTCCGCTGTATGGTTTTGCTTTGTGGTTACCATGAGGCTTATATAAAGCATCCTACAAACATAGCAGTCTATTTTAAACTGATGATAACTTTACTTCGATGGGATATAAAAACTCTGCCCTTTTTCTCTCCCCACTACTGATTTTATATTTTTGATGTCACAATGTACTTCTTTTACACTGTGTATTGATGACCAAATTATAGTAGCCATAGTTATTTTTAGTATTGTTTCCCTTAACCCTTATGCTATAATTAAGTGGTTGATACACCACCCTATTACAGAATTAGAATTTTTAAAATCTGACTGTATATTTACCTTTGCCAGTGTGTTGTGTGTTTTCATGTCACTGACTAATGTCTTCATATCAGCTTGAAGAATTCCTTTCAGCATTTCTTGCAAGGCAAGTCTAGTGATGATGAACTTCCTCAGCTTTTTTTCTGTCTAGGAAAGTATTTCTCCTTCATATCTGAAGGATAGCTTTGCTGGATAAAGTATTTTTAGATGGCAACTTTTATTCTTTGAACACTTTGAATGTCATCCCACTTTCTTCTGTCCTGGAGAGTTTCTGCTGAGAAATCCACTGGTAGCCTAAAGAAGGTTCCTTTGTAGATTATAGTCCTTTTTCCTTTGGCTGCTTTTAGGATTCTTTCTTTATCTTTGGTTTTTGACAGTTTCATTATAAGGTGTCTTGGAGAAGGTCTTTTTTGCATTGAGATAATAGGGTGGTCTACTAGTTTTATGAACTAGGCTGTCCAAGTGTCTCCCCAGGTTTGGGAAGTTTTCAGCTATTATTTCTTTAAATAAATTTTCTGCTGCCTTCTGTCTCTCTTTTACTTTTGGAATCTCAGTTATTCTAATATTTGTATGTTTAATGGACTCCACAGATCACATAGGTTTTCTTTACTCTTTGTCATTCATTTTTCTTTTTTCTATGATTTGATTATTTCAAAGTTCTGTTCTCTAGATCACTTATTCTACCTTCCATTTGCTCTACTCTGCTGTAGATGCTTTCTCTTGCATTTAAAAATATTTCATTTGCTGGATCCTTCAGCTCTTGAATTTCTGTTTTTATTTTTTTATAATTTCAATCTTGTTTTCAAAATTTCTCATTTTGTTGATGTGTTTTTACCTGATTTATTGATTGTCTCCGTTTTCTTATAGCTCATTGAATTTCCTCAAAACAGCTACTTTGAATTCTTTATCAGCTAGATCATAAAATTTTGTGCTTTTGAGCCCAGCTACTGGACGATGTTTGCTATCTTTAGTTGCTGATGTGTTTCCTTGATTCTTCCTGTTCCTTGAAATATTGCACTGCCACTTTCACATTTCAAGCAGCAGACACCTCCTCAAATCCTTACGAATTGCCTTTAGCTAGGGAATACTGTTAGTTGGTTCTAATGTATCTGGCATTTTGTTTGACCTTGTACGGATACACCTTGTATGCTCCACATCTCTTCCCCTTTTTGGCAGAATTCTTTTTAAGCTTTTATGTCTTCTCTGGTTCCCTACAACTCAACAGGCTGGCTGCCGGTAACCTCTGTTTCTTTCCAGAAGGTGGCGCTATAGCTCAAGCTTGTGTTTTCTCCCTTGCCGATGTATTCTTTTTTTTGATAGCATAGCACTGTGTTTACTGGACTGGGTCTCATTGCTGCACTCCTGAGTGCACAAAGAACCGACTGCAGAGTGGGAGGAGGTATAGGTTTAGCGCTTGAGACTTTGGAGGTGCCTGTCGACTTACTGGGGGTGGGGGAGGGATCTTTGGGTGAGGCTTCCAGAAGTTCATGGGCAAACGGCCTGCTGTTGTTCTGGTCAGTCACCATGAACTGCATTCCTTTAATCCGCTTTACATTCTTACCTGCCTTTTCCTTGATTTCCTCTTTCCCCCTGGTCATGGAGGGCCCACCTTAGTACTATGGGCACTGCTAGAGACAAATGGGTTTCTCTAGCGCGTCCTCACAGATGGTGTACTTGGACACTCACCACTCTCCTTTCCCTCGTAGGAGAGGTCATCTCCAGAGAGTTTGGCCACTCTCTGTGTCATCTTAAGGGAGGGACGCACTGGCAAAGTTCCTTTAACCTTCTCCACCGCTTCAAAATTCGTACATATATTTGCTCCAGTGTCATGCTGGGATCTCCTCTGGGGAGGATGGACTTCAACAAATCCTCTCTCATATCCCAGGGTACCTGCCTATGTCAACACTTCCCAGTTTTCCATCCTACCATGACCTGCAGCAATGGGATCAGGTTCACTGGTTTAAGTTGCTCTGCAGCCTGCCCTGTGGTCTGTCAATTACAGGAAGTACAGGTGGGTGAAATTTCTGCTGGGTCCCTTAGTGTACGGTGCTCTGTGGGAATTCCACAGTTCCCACAGAGGCACGTTAGTTCATGGATGGATGCCTAGTTGGTGCTACAAAAGGGAAACCAAAAGGAGAATATCTTACACCTCCTTGATGCTGGTGTCACTTCTCTGGAGCGCTTTAATTCTTCAGAAACAGTTCATTTTGTAGCTAAATTGTGTTTGTTGAAAAGAGGCACTTAAATACATGTCTTAAAATAGACTTCCAGATATTTCCCTCACTTCACTAATTTTTGGGGAGTCACTGGCTCTTTGAAAATCATATTAAAGCCCAGTAAAACACATAAATATACAGCCTCATAAAATGGTTTATGTGATTTCAAGGGGCTCACACACTTCCTGAATTACATTCATGGATTCTCCAGGGACCCATGAACTCCATGTTAAGAAAACTTGCAACATTTTTGTGCTTTTTAAGTAAAAATGTAAGATATATTTTTTCATTAGAAAAAATCTACATTAGTATCCACAGGAGAAATGAGTGAAAGTATCATGGAAAATGTTTCATTTAATTTCCAAAGAAAGTAGACTGTTATTACAGATTTATTCATGTATTTACTTACATAATTTAGCGAACACATTTGCACTTAGTACATACTAGGCACTATTTTCAGCACTTTACAAGTATTGGCTCATTTTATGCCTTTAATAACCCTATAAAGTAAATAGTAAATACTATTATTATCTTAATAACATATTGGCAATTTAAAATCATGTTCTCAAGTTCACTGAGGTCTTGTTTCTTGGGGCTTGAATATTTGCCTGGTGAAGTAGACATAGAAGTCTAATAGCTGCAGGTTAGTGCACACAGCTCCTGCACAGAGGGGCCATACAGAAACCCGCCACAGGGAAGCCGACCTGCCTGGGGGCTGGCTTATTGCCTACCGGGCTATTTTTACTCTCGCTTCATGGCATGCGATTGGGCACTACAGCCTAGGGACCAAGTCTCATGGAGATCAATGACCTTTGGAGTTGTTTTTTGACAAATATTAAGGCATCAATGGTTATGCCTTCCTGGGAAGGATCTATGCTAATCTTGTTCTTCATTTTGAAGTGTTAAACATTTGTCTTAAAACAAGGAGCACCAACGAGGCTTGACTGTAACTTAACCTTGTTTTGCTTTTATGCAAGAGTCACTGGAAAATCATTTTTTTCTTTCCCCTTTTTTTTCTTTTGTTCAGAAGGCTTTTCTTTAAAGTAAAAAGATGTCAAAGGAAGAGAAGAGTTATGAAACACAGGTGAACAATTCTCATTTCAAAAACTCCCCCACTGTCGCCTCATTCTTCCTTTATTTACAAAATGCTTCAAAACCTTCATTCTAACTTCAGTTAATAGAATCAGTGGCACTAGAACCCTGGATGTCAGTGGCAGGAGTTTTGCTTCTTTCTGTATCCTGGGAACATTTTTTTTTTCCTTTGGCCTCTACTTATTTAGCAAAACCTGCTCTGTTTGTACATTCTAAGTTTTTAACATCACATTTTAAATGGTATGCTGACAGAATTAGCCAACATATCAGAAATCCTTAGTGTTCTTCAGAGGGAATAAATAACTGTCTATTTTCCTTATTTTGTTTTGCTTTCTTTTAAATAGCACATACTTCTTCCTGATACTATATATATATATATGTATATGTATATGTATATATGTATATATATATGTGTATATATATGTATATATATATATATACATGTCTGTCCAAGAGAGCAAGGAGTTTGTCTTGCTCACTGCTGTATCCCTAAAGCCTAAAATGGTGCCTGACACATAACTGCCTTCCATATACAAGAGTGGATGGATTAATAGATTTAGTAACTAGGAAGTGTGTGGATTGCAGACAACATTGTCTTCCCAGATGTACTGTGGAAAGGCAGACCCTTGTCCCCCAGAGGACTTGGCCAAGGTTATACAAGGAAAATGCTTTTGCCTTCGCTGTGATGGATGTGATGGGGACAGGAAATACAAAGAATGGTTATGGTGATTTGTTTTCACTGCAAAAAAAAGGTCCACTGAAAAATCTCTCAGGAGAACTTAAGAAAAGGCATAAATAAGCAGTTATTCTGGCCTCTATTAAGCAGCAGTATCAAGATGCTGAGGAGTAAGAACTGAAGAATGAAGCAGCCTAGCTTGATTCAATTTTCAGAAATGAATTTAAAGAAATCACTTGACTGGTTTACATCTAACTGTTTATTAACATTATATATATTTTTAGTCTTTTGTAAAAAGCTGTTGTTTTCAATTTGTATCAAAGTTTCAACTTACAGAGATATTTTCTCTCTGGTATCTTTCAAATAGATCTTTGATTTCTTAAGTGCTTCTTTTGAGCTGTTAATTACATTGATAGAAGACAGGTTGCCTTCATACATTTGCTACATAAATCTCTTTTCTTGAAAGAAGAAAATCTATTCTTTAAAATTTTACAATGAGCCACTGATAAAAAGCCACACTACCATGAGCCGCTGTGTGTTAGGAGGCTGAAGAGAAAGTATTAGTAGCTATGGGACCTCATGAGAAATCAGTACTTCTAATGTTCATTAACACAATTACAAATATAATCCCCTCTTCCATCATATGGAGGCCCTTTCCTTCAGTAGTTCAGCATCTTCAAATTTCTCCCTGATTCTTCTGTCTCCCTCTTCATTTTTAAGAACCTTTGTGCATACACTGAACCCACCAGGATAATCTCCCTATCTCAAGGTCAGCCGATTAACAATCTTAATTCCATCTGCAAACTTGATTCCCCTTTCCCCCTATAACCTATTTACAACCTCAGGGCATTAGGACACAGACTTCTTTGTGGGGGTTGAGGGGAGGGCACAGGCGCGGGGAGGATTGCTTCGCCAACCAGATTGTCCAAGCTCCATGTTTTAAGAGTTTTCAACCTGGACTGGGTAGCTGATTTTTTTTTTCCATTTGACTATAAGCTGTGTAAAAGTACCCAAATGGCATATAATTATTTTGAGAATGAGGGCCTAAATGTATAAATGCATCCCATTCAACTTTCTTTCAGGCAAATCACTTCCATCTGCTTTATATCTGTGTGAATCATAAGGACTGCTGGAAGGGCTCAGGAATCTGGTGCAAATGAGAAAACCCCATCCGAGGCAAGTGTGAGCTTTGAAAATAAACCACCATTGTGTTTGGATAATAGCCCATTAACAAGGTTAATTTTACTTAAATCTCAGCACATTTTGATTTTCTAAAATGAACTGAAGCAACTAGAGTCTGTTAGGTAAACTTTCAAAACAAAATCTGAATCTATTGTTCTGAGTAGTGTTAAAAATACTTTTACAAAATTAACATTCATTTTTAAAATTAAAAAATAAGAAACCCATTTAAGCAAATAAGAAGCAAACTGATGAACTTACACATTTGCCAGAGCAACTCAGAACAGTCATTTTTATCTTATAAACTATTGAATACTAAATGGAGGCCTTTCTAAGCAGAAAGAACTTTCTTTTCCTTCTGTGTGAAATGGAAAGGGTGCTCATTAGGAATATGAAACATGATGGCAGAATGAACCCAATGCATTGCTCCAGATTTGTCCTGAATTTTGTTAGCTCCAGGGCTGTGGTGGGGATTTCATTCTCTATCTTTTGTCCAAGAATCAGCTGCCATCTGCCTCAGGGTAAGTCCACCTCTTCTGGCACTTTTGCCAACGACCTAATTGTTTATTTATTTAACTAATGGAGTTAAATAATTAACTGTCCTCATTAGAGCCTGTTATTATATTAGAGTTGTACTCTGAGTCCAAAAAGGAATATACTGTATTTTAAAGATTTTAAGGCTGTTTGGCCTTTTCAGACTATTGCCGTTCTACATTTGTATAAACAAAATTCAATGAAACTGCACATTGAGAGGTAAAATCCCAGTATAAATCTATCCCATCTTATTCTGATAAGGCAGAATTTTCTGAGATTTGATCTAATGACATTTATGGCATTTTTGGGTTTTTTTTTTTTGGTGTTGAGGCCACCAAGAGGTCTTTAATAGATGTGCTGAATGAATTAAAAATGAAATAATAGTGGGGTACAGTGCATCCCAGAACGAAGAGGGACAGCTCTTCCACTGAGAAAGTTCAAATTCCTTCAAGAACAATGCACATCTCCAGCCACTGCCCACTGTGACTCCCCTTGATACTCCCTCCCCGAGAACACCTCACCATTCCCAAAACATATCATGCCCTCGTGGTCTCTTTGCACAATGACCATATGGTTTTGAATATGATTGTACCTCTGTCTGAAGTGGACTTTCACCTACCCATCCTTCAAGACTTTTCTCCAATGTCAGCTCCCTTGTGAAGCCTCTTCTCTAAGCCAGGATGCATTACTTCTCCTGAGGGCCATTACAACCTCATGTTCTTAGGTCTCGTGCGCACTTAGCAAATCCATGACATCAAAGTGGGTCTGCCTGAATTCCCTTCAGTAGTCTGGAAACAAAAGTTGTACCTGCCAATACAGAGCTCTTGGATGGTGCTTGGGACACAGTATGCATCAAGGACTGATTCCTGAACCAGGAGTGAATGAACCATTGAATATTGGTTTTCAAAAGCTTGCTATCTTTTAAAGAAGGATAAAACAGCCTACTGGTTACTCTCCAGAAATAAAGAGGCATTTTTGGAGAAACTGAAATGTCACAGCCTGGAGCAATCAGAATTATGGTCATTAAAAGATTTTGGTGAGCCCTGCTAGAAAACAAACCCATTGCCAGAGGAAAGTGATAGCCCAGCAACTCTAGAAACAGAAATGTGTGACTTACATAATACACAGATTGAACAATTGGAATTTTTATACATATACTCACTAACCCAAAAGATCTGTTAATGTCACCTGGTACCAAGGCAACTTTGACTGAGATGTACTGGCTGTGATCCAAACCATGTCTGTGTGTGCTGAATTAAACACATTGACACTGAAGGCATCTCCTGATAGCTTCTCAAATTTTAGTATTTTGCTTTCACTGATGTGTCAGATACCACTGGGTGCCTATCCAATTGCCATTTCCATTTCCTCTTCCCAGCTAACTGAAAATCGGTTTTGTTTAAATGTTTGACAGTCTCTGTTTCAGAGAGCTGGGCCTCTCTTCAGCCCTAGAGCATGACATTCATCAATCACAGAAAGTCCACTATTCTTCCCAGTGGTTGGTTTATGAAGTCAGACAAAAGAATCTAGCCCATGAGACATGAGTGGAATGTGTTAGGAGCTTCTTGGAAGAGTTTTTCTCATTCTTAACAAGGGATCTGAGAAAGGGGCTTGTTTTCTTATACTCTTTGGATATGTATGAGGATATGATGCCTTGGGCTTTTGCAGCCCTGTTGTGACCAGGAGGCCACAAACCGGAAGAGAAAAGCCAATGCAGTGAGAATGGCAGAAGAGAAGGGTGGAAAAAGCAGGATCCCTGGTGGAGGTGTTGAACCACTGAATTAACCAACCCTGCAAGGACCCTAGTGCTATACCTCTTTTTTAATATAATACAATAAATAAAGTTCCTGTCATTATGTAAGCCAGTTGAATTTTATCCTCTCAACCTTCAGTTGAATGCATCCTAAGAGATGCAACTAATTATGAAATTTAAGGACCAGCTTTTCCAGCATTACAGGTTACTTAACTTCATACTTGACTGTGACCTCTCAGGGCACTGCTAAAGAAGGTTCTACATCTGCTACTGGTTTTTTAAACTGAAAAAGCCCAGGCTAATTGGCAGTCATTTCAAGTGCAAATTTCTTTATACAGTATAGGTTTCTTTAAAAAAATAAACTAACTTAAGTGTTTGATCTGGTTAGTGTTATGTCTCCAAAACACCAACCAGCCTTTACAGCCTTCAGCTTCCAGACTCTACCTATACCCACGAGTGATGCAAGAGGATTTCCCTAGCATACTTGCTCTGTGCGAAAACGAGCGGAGGAGACTTCCTCACCAACTTCTGTTTTGAAATATGTTCCAGGAAGAATGTGGCAAGTTTCTTAGGTTATTCTAATTTGCATGTATCGAAGAGCAATTTTAGGAAAGTGTATTTAGTGAATCAACTGAAAACATGATGATAATGAGAATAATTATTTTGATTTTAATAAGCATTTATTGAGGTCTTCTCAGGTACAAGGGATTCTAGGGAAGCAGTATGACATGATGATTAAGAATAAGGGCTTTGATCTCAAGCAGATGTGGATTGTGGCCTTGAAAGTATTTGTGCATTAAGTAGTGACTCTACAGCTTTCTACTAGGCTGATGGACAGTGAGCTGCAATGGGGTGTGGGGGGACTTGGTAATATGATGAATGTAGTAACCACAATGTTGCTCATGTGAAACCTTCATAAGATTGTGTATCAATGATACCTTAATTTAAAAAAAGAAAAAGAAAGCATTTGTGCATTTACTTGGGAGGGAAACCTAAATGGGAGTACATGGGAATGCCATTCTGATTCCAAGGTCGACATTGGAGTCCCCAGGAAGAGGGCTGACTGGGACCACCTTTCCTTTCCCTTGAGTCTCTGTGCAGAAGAACTTCTGCCGGTGAAAGCTCCTGGCCCCACAGCCTATTCCTCTCCAGTTGAGTGGTTTGTTTCCCTGACTTTGGGAAATCAGCTAGGTCATGGCTCAGTCAGCCCCTTCCACTCTGCTTTTGTTTGGGGATCTGCTCCACAAGTGTAATCTAGCCCCTGGCTGACCAGCAGGACCTGTCCCTGAGTGGGTATGTCCATAGGATTTAGGCCATCTTTTGTTAGTGGGAAGCTAGCGTTTTGATGTCTGAGTATCTGACTGCTGGGGTGCACTCTCGATTGGACCTGCAAGCTTAGGAGGAGGCTGCTGCTGTCCTCGAGGGCCTGGGAGGCACTGGATTGGGCTGTATTGGGGGCAAACTGCTTTGTTGCACACAGCATGATTTGGTGGAGGGTAGAGGCATATATCCTTGTCATTTGCAAAAATCCCCCCTTGAAACATCACACTGTGTACAAAATCCCTTGTTTCAGTCTCTTTTAGCCAAAAGTTTCATACAGATTGCTTCCTGGAAGCCCTGCTTTTCTGCTCATAAGACAGGCTCAGAAAGCAGGAATTGCCACTGTTAACTGCAACTTTCCTGAATGGCTGCTAGGTGGGGAGCTTCTCATGACTGTGTGAGGTGTAGGGACATGTCAGCGCCAGGCTGAGCTCTCCAAGTCCTCCCTGTGTCAGGCGCGGCCAGGCCTGAAGGCTTTCCCAAAGCTGCACAGGCCTGGGGGTGTTGTTCCCGGAGCTTTGCTGTGAGTGGCAACGTCAAGACTCTGACCTCAGTAGCTTCAACAACAGGCACATGAACAAGTGGGCAAAGAGAGGGAAAAAGTGCAAAAGAACTTTTGGTGAACACGTGTGAAACACTCCAGTTCCATCCAGAAATACTTGCAGGAGAGATTTCAGGAAGTGAGCTTCTGTGTTAGGCAATTTAAGAGCTAGAATCAGTGCAACTTATATTAATATTAATGTGACCCCAATCTGATTCCTGGGTTGGTGAGGCTAGAGGAAAAATGGATTGCAGTAATGAAATTGGTCATGCTGATGTTTTAATGTCATGGTTCTGTGATTTTGGAATGTTACTAATGAGTTTTTCTGCTTAGATTTGACTGTAACTTTGATTTTCTTCCTGTCTTGTAGTTTACCTTAAATCGTAATGCTGAAGCATATGATTCAAAGTCCCTCTGGCTTGCGGCTGAGTCTTGTCAAAGGGATTGTTTGGATCTTGGCCCTTGAGAATGGCTCTTACCCAGGTCCTAGGGCTCAGACTGCTGTGCTTTTTATAGAAGATGCCTGGCTTCCCAGCTTAATAAACATAAGTGTCATCATATTCACAGCAGACACCCACCAGACCCACCATCAGACAGGCTATTATAATCGCCCTCATGCATCACCATCAGCAGAGGCATGGGGGTTATAAACTAAGACCTGAGAGATTTACGACTTGAGGAGAAGGTGGACTTATAAACCTGCCTATCCAAAAAAGTGTTGTGGCTGTGTATAGTGTTCAAAGAAGAGGGTCAGAAAGGGTAAAGATGTCTCAGAAACGAGAACATGCTGTGGTCCAGGCATAGTTGATAATAGTACCCTTATTCTATTTCAAACTGTGTATATTTGGAT